TTTACCTGTATGTTAGAGTGTACTCTATTTATGTTCCTGTTAAACGTGTAGTATATATGCTTGTCAGTATTGTGTGCTTTCGTGGCTATGCCTGAAGATTCCTGAGCTTGTAGATTCCGGCAGCCCCCATGACCAGCTCTGAAAACTATGAAAACTCATGATTTTTATATAGGGGGTTAAGTGGGTGCTCTACCCTTGCCTATGAGGGCAATATATCGCAGCGCACAGAGTTGGATAACCTCCCTTACCCCAAACATGTACTAAATGACATGCAAAGGCAGCAAATTTAAGGGTTTTCCCACTTAGAATGCTTTTCGACGGCATGTCAAACAGGGCATTTATCAAAAAATGGGCGAACGAAGAGTAGGAGCCAGACCAAGAACAAGACAGAAAGATATCAAAACAGTACGGCGTATTTGTGATCAAAATGATCAGAATACAAGAAGCAGAACGTACGTCTCCCCAACACACGAAACTGAGTTGAGTTGATTCAAGTACCGACATTACATCACTCGGGGAATTCCCATAAGCGTTCCGTCCTTATCTTCAGCAGCCACTGAAGAGTTCAGATACTAATCGTGCCAGTGGCGTTCTGATTAAACGTCCGTCTTGCCTTTCCTCTGAGCCTCGAGTATCTGCCAGAACCTCTCATCACTTCCCACTGATCACCATCCACATTTGGAGGTCGTAAAAACAAAAAGTACAACCGCTGGAACCACAGGACTCTACGTCAGGACCCAGACATGCACAGATGGATAGCACGACATGCTAGTGGCTATACTGAGTCATTCATGCAGGCACACAAAATATTTCAGCCATTTGGCACAAATAATATATTTACACCCGATGTGGTGAAGAGGCTACAAGCAAGCCTACGGACGGGAAGGTCGTGAATTCAGCACCTGATGGAGCCAGACATTTTTTTTAACTACCTTGAATCCAAGGTCGACCTAGCCTTACATCCGTACCTATTACAGTCCTAAGAAGTAAAGGGGGCCGGCGTGATGTTGACCACATCACCCAACGATGACCACATCACCCGCCGATGACCACATCACCCACCGATGACCACATCACCCACCGATGACCATATTACCCGCCAATGACATCACTCACTGATGACCATGTCAGCAACCGATAAGCACATCACTTAATTGATGAACACGTAACCCACTGATGACCATATAATTCGCATCGTTCACCGATGACCACATCACCCAGATGACCACATCACCCACTGATGAGCACGTAACCCATCTATGACCACATTCCCCCCCCCCCGATGACCACATCACCCACCGATGACCACATCAAACACTGATGACCACATTACCCCCCGATAAACACTTAACCCATCGATGACCACATCATCCACCGACACTGATGACCACATTACCCACCGATAAACACTTAACCCATCGATGAAAACATAACCTACCGATGACCAAACAACGCACTGATGACCACATCACCTACCAATGAACATGTAACCCATCGATGATTACATCGCCCACCGATGACCACATTACCCACTGATGACCATATCACTCAACGATAAACACGTAATGATAAGAGCACATCACTCACCAATAAGCACATCACACATCGATACCACATCACACAATGATGATCACATCTCCCACCGGTGACCACATCATCTGCCGATGACCACATCACACACTAATGACCACTTCTCCCACTGATTACCACATCACACACTGATGACCACATCACCAACCGATGACTACATCACCCACCGATGACCACATCACCCACCGATGGCCACATCACCCACCGATGACCACATCACTCACCGATGACCACAAATCTTGTTCTACTACTGACAGCCTGTACATTTTCTGATAGTTATTTTCATTGAAACTAGATTGCAAGTTTATGTACACGTACACCAATCCCACAGAACACTTGGCAACAGGTTGCCTAAGCAGCTGTAACAATAAGTGTCTGCGTTCGAATGGTACCAGTCTGAGCAGCTCTGGTAATTGTAGAAGCCTGCAGTAATTTCTTTTTTTTACTTAACGTGTGTACAAATTTACACACCCACACAGGCCCACATTCTTTGCCTAATTAAACTAGAAAAGGAATGGATTGAAGTCTAGAAGCTCAACTTCGCTAGGGTATTACCTTTTTTGACTTGGTCTTTCTCCTTTGAATGACTAGTCGCTTGTCGGGATCATCGTAAAAAGAACGAATTCCGTAGCTCCAGTAACGATCTCCAGTGACCTTAAAATGTTTACCCGTGAACCTAACCCACGACCTTCACAACGCGACTGCCTAGCAATATATTCACACAGACCCAATCGTCAGAGTCAGTATTCTATAAATGAATCTAGAAGAGAAGATCGAACCACCTCTGGATCTGGCCGGTGTGCTGTGATGATAGTCGCAGTAATGGCTCACAAATCACCAATGACTAATCGAATTGGTGTTAACTTTACTTTGAAGTAAACAAGGCAGATGGAGGGAGTGGTCATGCTGTATGGAGAGCATATTGTCTCTACAATACTGCCCAGGCTCTGAGCTATGGAAAGGATGAACTTTATCCCAGGCCGTAACTGCTCTCTGAAACAAATCGAGAAGCAACAGTCACAGGTTATAAATTCTTGTCAGTTGGCAAAGTTGACAACAACTGTCCTGGAATCCCATGCTATAATTGTGGAAGACTTTTCTTAACGATAGCTGGTTTGCTTGTCACACTCACCAAGGGCTGTGACTCCCATCCCTCCTCACAGCGCAATATAACAAGATGGAAAGATGGAAATGTGTCAATCAGTCAGTCATATCTTAAGGAAACATTCAGTGCTGCGGTAAGTACTTATGAGTAACGCACTTTTAAATACTTAGTTACCCGGCTCTCTAGCGCAGACCGGGTGACGAACTCTTTGTGGTCCGGGTTCACGCCCAGGGGTAGGCAGAAAAGCCACATTTCTCCCAGATTTACGGTATCTATCATAGAATCAAAACCCGAAGGGTTGTGATATCATAGTACCGAGCCAAAGGGTTAAGAACTCATGGTTTCTGGTTACTTTAAAAAAAAAAATAACTACTTGGTTGTCAAGTTGATCACATTTCTAAAAGTAACAGAAAAAAAAACAGACCGATAGTAGGATGAACGAATAAAACCGACCGACGACTAATAGACAGACAGACATAAATGATACTTACAAATCCATATCCTCTGCTTTTGCCAGTCTGTCTATCTGTGATGACGACCGCCTCCTCAATATCGCCGAACTTGTCAAAGTACTCTCTCAAACTCTGGTCGGTGGTGTGGTAGGGCAGGCCACCCACAAATATCTTGGTGTACTGTGTATCCTTTTGTCCTGTGATGGAGAGCACTGACTGCGCTGTGAGGGCCATGGCTGATGATGCTAGTGGTGGAATGATGTGAGAACTGGGTGACAGAATGAAGCACAAACCGAGCACGCGAGTTCCCTGTCTAATCACTTACTAAAGGATCCTAATTTGGTATGTTCTCTTTAGAAAAATCCCCAAAAAATAGAAGATCGTGAAATGCTGCTGAAATAATTGTTTTGACTAGTTTAGTAAGGTGTAGGACTGTTGAGCTCGTCCTGAACAAACAGGATCTGTTGTGATGCTTCGTTAAGAAGGCCCCAATCAATAGTTGATGGTAAGATGCTGTGTTCAGATAGTTCAGATCAAGGAGTGATATCTTAATAAGTATTAGTATGGCTCCAGTCCAACAGCTGACAGTGAGATGCGGTGTTCGGATAGTTCAAATAAAGAAGTGATATCGTGGCGATTACTGGGATGGTTGCAGTCAAACAGTTGATAGTAAAATGTTGAGCTTAAATAGTGATAGTGATAGTTGCAGTCAAATCTCAGTCAGTAAAATGACGTGCTGAGATAGAGATAGTGAGTTTCAATCAAACTGCAGATAGTAAACTAACGTGCTGAAATATTTTCAATCAGATAGAAGATGGTGTGATGTGATACAATAATTCCAACCAGTTTAGAGGATGGAAATAAACTGTGTTGAAATTCCTCCGGCAAACAGCAAATGGTTAAATACTGTGTTGAGATAGTTTCAGTCAACGTATAGTTGGTGATATTCTGTGTTGAGATAGTTCCACCCTTCTAGCAAATAGTGATAAGCCCCTTCCAGTTATTTCCAATCGCTTAGTATGTAGTGATATCCTGTGTGGAGATGATTCCAACACAAGAGTAGATGTTGAGACAAGACTCCTTCTGTAGATTACAAACTGTTGTCTAGGCACTGATGGCGTGGCTGTCCTTGCATGCAATTACCTGTAGCATAGATAATCCAAAATTGAGTGGATGAAATCAACGGGTGCCACGTTTCTCCAGCAACAAAGATTCTGTGAAAGCAGTTAAGACCTCCTGTCTGATGGAAGTACTGCTTAGGTGAAGAACTACAGATGTGTTACCTGAAAATAATCAGCGAAAAGGAAACATTATGTTGGGTTTAAGGGACAGAGTTTGTGACTTGGGTATGAAAACATAGCCGATATACTGGAGTTTCAGATTAGCCGCAGACGATTTGGGAGCAAACAAGTTTACGTTGGTTTTGATTATGATGAGCCTCGAGCAGGTCAGAAGCAAAACCAAAATTAAAATATATATCTGTCCTATAGCAGATCCTTGTCAGAACATCGTCTGAATGTGGGAAAAAATCTAGTTTTTCTACCAGCTCCCCCACTTTCTGCACTTTCCTACCCAAAGTGTCAAATATATAGGGTACCTATATTCGTGTTGGTCGGTCCATGAACCTCTTTCCTGGTATCATGCCTTCTGCTATTATGTTTTCCTGTCTGCTGTACCGCTTGATATTGCCAAAATATTTTAGTTTCCGAGAAAGCTACTAGAAAATCTTCTTTGATGCTCCGGTCTTATAGGATGTCAGTATGTATTTCTATTATTTGTCTTTAGTATGCTGAGAATATTTCTATCGCCTTTCAGCTAAAAAAGCCCCTATTTTTTTCCTTAATGACTTCGACATAGTCCAGACTCACATCCGTATGTTGCTTCTGGAAAGATGCATGCTCTGAAAGCTTTGACTTGGATCCCCTTGTTTGTGCTCAACCGCAGACTGTGAAGGATTTTGAATCATTGCATTGCAATGACCATCCTCCTTTTGTTTTTAGGGCATGTCATTTGAGGATATCCCTCACCGACCCCAGCATTGGCAGTCTGCTGGCGGTGTTACCAGACAATTGTAAGATGCGTATTTTGCCGCGGACATAAATAGTCGACGCTCGTACCGTGTCGGAATCAACGCAAGCCGTCTGCTGCCATATCACTTTCAGGTTAATCGAATTCGTTATGTGGCAGTTACGAAACGGTGTACATAACCCATGACCCACGGACGCCCGGTGACAGTGTAAAACTATTGCACGTAACATTATCTAGTTAAGCCACAGATCCTCCAACAAATGATAGGGTGGGATTACCATAAGCGAAAATAGCATACAGATAAGTAACTAAATAACCTAAACAAGAAAAGAACGAGCGAACGAATAGGCTTTCTGATCAAAGGGTTACGAATTGGGCATGCAGGCAAGTCTTGTCTTAACGAGAGCGAGAGAGAGAAATAAATACCAGCTAGCTAGACAAGACTAAAATACGGAAATGGACGAACAACCATAACGTTCTGACGTAGTTTTAGCCCGTGAACGCGAAGAAGAAGAAGAAGATTCTGTGTTTGAATGAATCCATGCAAGTATCTTTCTTCGCTTGACACTAATGACAGTTATTAAATAAGATAAACGCTCGATTAGTATTGTCTCTCTATAATGTTTTGATCACACAAACAGCGTTTACATTCGACACATATAAATGAAGAAAAATTGTACACCGGAATTGTCGGTACGGTATATATTTTTAAACAAGTTGTGATTTGAACATCAAGTTCCCTAGATGCCTTCTTTCCTCGATAGAAATTTAATTATCCAAGAAAAAGCATTCAAAATACCTTTATCTAATAAGTAACATTTAACCCGCCAATTTAACGAAACACCGGCACAAGACACGGACGCCAGACAAGACCGGGCTGTGTTCAATCGTGCCAACTATCTCTTTCTGCCGAAGGGGCAAACTTAGTTCTCGATAGACAGACAGACTAACGAGGTAGTGTCGGTGAATATGTGAGAAGGCTACGTGAACTATTCAACATTCTCTGCCGCTCAATGAAGACAACAATACAGGTTATAGGGGGATACAAGGAACGATCTTTGTTAACATTTATGAGCCTCGCCTGCTACCTGGAAATTAATCTAATCCAGTTCAATCTAAAACCGTAACAAAGATTGGCTGGTTCAGAAATGTTATTAACAACCCGGAATGCGGAATGGGGGCTGGGGTGGGGGAGGCGGGGATGTTGTGGGGAAGGCAATTTTGTAGTTGTGAAATCTACACAGCAGTGGGTTGTTTGGTAAACTGCGTTAGGATGTGTCTCATTCCTTGTGGTCAGCTCCCTCGTTATATCTTGTTACCTGTCCAGCATACTCTCTATCAGCAGTAATGCATCCGAACTTTTCCGACTGTTAGTTTTTTTAAACGTTTCCAAGGTGACTGTCTAAAGGCGACAGGATCAACAACACTGTTCCCTCTATTGTCTCAAATAGCCAGCTCTCTTATGTTGCCGTCGTAGCGTAGAGTCCGAATCCGCAGTGAAACGAACTTTTTTATTTAGACGTGGCTTCCAGATAGACCCAGACTAGAATGGATACAGGGTAATGTCCTGGGGAAGTAAAGGCGAATGGCTTGTTGTTGACGAAATCCCAAAGCGAGTGACTTTTGTCTTGACAGTTATGAGTTATGAGTTATGAGTCTAGCATCACATACACGGCACTGGTGTCAACAATCGGTCCTTTGCTTCGATATTTCTCAGCAGAGGAGTTAGTCGGCTGCGGGAGCGTTCAACAAAGCTCGAACTTCAGATCTTTGGCAACGACCCCAGGAAATCTCCGAGACAACTGCACTCACAAACGGGGTGGCGAACTCCGAAATCAAATTAACAACTCAGAGAGCACGAGGAAAACATTCTAATTATTCATCCATGGCGATTGTGAACAGATAAATTTCCCCAACAAGAATATGTCCGGAAAAAAACGTTTTCCTAGGAATTAAAGTCACTGTCTAATCAATTTCTTTAAATGAAGATTGAACAAAATCATTATTAAATTTTCTCCATTGTATTGTCTCCCCATTCAGATCACCACTACAACATTTAGACAAGTTGCAGTCGGATGTGACGTCTTTGCAAAAATTAACAGAAATGGCGGTGACAATATTTACATAACTCGAATATGAAAAATCGGCACGGAGAATAATTCTGTGGGATGTGACTGGTTCTATAGCTATTAAACGTCTGCTTACACAAGAGCTGTGATATCTTTAGTAGGGAGATTAATGTTTGCTTACATTCTTTTAAATTTTTATTTGTGTCGTTTAAAACGGTGCATACACAACTGCCTTTGGAAGTTTGCGGTTTATACA